ATCACTAAAACTAACTTTACAGTGAAAGATTACAGATGCTTTGACAATAGTTAAAAAGGTTTTGAAATATGCTCTGGGATTTAGGGACCTCGAAGCCTTGTTTCAGTAAAGCAAGTAAAACGGTTGTAGTACTAACGAAAGAGGGACTTAAAAAATTAACTCAAGTGAACTTTTACTGCATAATTTAATATGGCTTCTGTAATGAAAATTATGTCTTGTGAATCTATGACAACTCTTTATGAAGACTGTGAGGCAAGAAACCCAACTGGTAAATTTTATGTTTCGATAGGCTCCTGGTGCAGGCCTCTGACACAACAGAGTTCTGAAATTAAGTAACCATGAAGTGGGATTACAAGATGGCTAAACAAAGGAAAAATAAAGAGCTGGAATACAATGATCAATGTTCAGAAAAGGCAAAATATAAACAAAGCGTCTCAATTTTCTGGTTTAGATATGATGCTGTTTAATATGCCTGCATGTGTTTCAGGAAACAATTTGAACCTGAAGACTACAGAGTTGACACAGATCTTAATTTAAACTAAATTAAAGAAAACCCTAAGAACTTTATAGGTATTTACTAAAATACATATTTATGCCAGGTTCACGTGGCATTTGTGCATCCTATGCACCTCGGATGGAGGAGCACCAGGCACAAGTATAACTTGGGAGAGGAGTGGCTGGAGAGCAGCCCTGCAGAAACTGGTGGTGCTGTCTGACAGCAGGCTCGACAGGAGTCAGCAGTGTGCCCTGACAGTCCAGAGCGCCAATCGCTTCCTGGGGTGCATCAAACACAGTATAACTAGCTGGGCAAAAGAGATGATTTTCCCACTGTATTCGGCATTGGTGTGGCCTCATCTTGACTAATGTGTGCTCTTCTGGGCCCCACAATTTCAGAAGGATGTTGAGGTCCTTGAATGTGTCCAGAGGAGGGTAACAAAGCTGGCTAGAAGGACTGTCCTACAAGAGGCAGCTAAGGACATTGGGCTTCTCTAGTTTGGAGAAAAGGAGACAGAGGGGTGACCTCATTGCTCTCTACAGCTTCCTGAGGAGGGGAATTGGAGGGAGGTGCTGATCACTTCTCCCTGGTATCCAGCGATAGGATGTGTGGGAACGGTTCCTGGGCCAGGGAGGTCTAGACTGGACATTAGGAAGCATTTCTTTACTGAGAGGGTGGTCAAACACTGGAACGGGCTTCCTAGAGAGGTGGTTGGTGCCCCAAGGCTCTCAGTGTCTAAGAGGCATTTGGACAACTTTTGGTCAGCCCTGAAGTGGTCAGGCAGTTAGACTAGATCATCCCTATACGTCCCTTCCAAATGAAATTATTCTGTTCTATTCTATTCTATTCCAGAATGTCTTGAGGCAGTCCTTCTATAGTCAGAGCAGGGAG